AAAAAAAATAAGAAATTAATTAATTAATAAGGATGAAAAAGGAACCGTATCAAAGGGGAAGTGCTTCTTATATAATAGCAAGATTATTCCGTAAAAAATCTAACTTTTGTTAGATTACTGATTATGCGTAGAGGGTTGAGGGAGGGGGAGAGAGAGAGAAGTTTCATATATAATTACTCCGCAGTTACTTAATCTTCTCTTATTAGAAACTAGTAGTAAGCACGTGTCTTATGTATCAGATGAATGATATACATTGTATTTTTGAAGTGCTAATATTAAAGTAATTGCTATTTTTAAAGGAAAAATTAAAATTATTGGAAAATATATATAAAAATAAAAAATTTTGAGCCACTCCAAATGTAGCACTCCAGACATGCATACATGTAGAAATCTAACTTGACGAAGCTCAAATCTCTATCAAATCCAGCATCTCCTACAATTGAAGCTCAACTTATCAATCTTAAACCCTAAACCCTAAGAATAACCTGTAATAGTATAGGTTTAAAACTGAAAAAACTACACTGGTAAGTTGCATAATGCAATTCCAATACATCTACTGATGATTGCGATAGCATCAAGCAATTAATGAATGTTGTTGTTTACAAAAGGCCATTTTTAATCGTCATTTGTATTCATATTCAAATAGGATCCGTCATCTTCGTTGTAGAGAACACTTCAATGACAAGTACAACTCCGATTTCATGTTGTAACTAGGTAACAAATTAATTGAAAAATAATTTAAGAAGCATCTCGTTTCTAATTTTTCTTACACGAATAATCTTGAATTTCCATTCCTTTCTCGGATTATAATTTTTCGACTTTTCATTATCGTGAAACTAGAGGTTTCATGAGAGAAATTTTACACTTTGTACGTGTGATAAAATGTTACAAGAATCTGATTTTCATGTTGGGAGAAGGGTATATTATATTATAATTAACTTGCAACTTATGGATATTCATATAGATAAATCAAAATACAGACAAGAAAAAATCACACATGTAGCATGTTTAGTTTAACTAATTCAGAACATCACACTTCTGGCATTTGTTGCTTCTTTGTCGACTTATATCCGCAAGGCTGTTGAAATCTGCGGCTTCTTCTACAAAAGAAGCAAAGCCAAATACGCTCGAATTCATTTGAAATAATCCAACAACTAGTGTTGAAGAAGATCAACCTCCCTCTCTTCAATTCTCACAGGAAAACCGCCCTTCATTTTTGATGTGAAGTCTGATATATATATCGGTTCATCTCCTTTCTCCACCACCGGCACCACCCTGAAACGCCGCAAGACACCGGCAACAACCCTCTTCATTTGCAATAAAGCCATGTCCTTCCCCAAACAAATTCTAGGCCCAGCCTGAAACACTGGTTATGTAAAGCTATCCTTGCCCACAAATCTCCATTTTCCAGCAGCTTCCTCTGCCGCCTCTAGCCACCTTCTGGGGCGGAAATCCTTCCAGTCAGACCCCCACACTTTCACAACCCTCCCCATTGCGTAGGGATGATAGCTTATTCTTGTACCCTTCTTCACCACAGTCCCATCTGGTAAAACATCATGATTCACTGCTGATTTTGTGTCCACAGGGACTGGTGGATATAATCTCATGCTTTCGCAAAGCGAAGCGTGAATATAAACCATATCCTTCACTTCCTCATAAACTGTTCCTTCTGATGTTTCTTTAATCTCTTTCAGAATCTCAATTTCCACTTCTGGATTATTGTAAAGCAACCAGAAAAACCATGTTAATGCAGCAGAAGTAGTGTCACGGCCAGCTAGTATAAAACTTATCACTATATCAGTAACAAAATCTTCATCAGAATGGCCAGAACTCAAGAATCTGGACAGAAGATCAACAGATTCTTTGGAGGTATTTTCTTGAAGTTCGTGTTTCTTCTCTTTGATTATTGATTTTGCAAATTCGCGGACTTCGTTTACAACAATCTTCAACTGCTTTTCAGATCCTACGTTAAGAGCCCTTTTGATTTTCCATATGAAAGGGATGTTTGAGTTGAATCTTTCGCTGATGAGTGTAACAGCACTTCCAAACGCAACAGCAAACCTTTCCTGCGGAAGTGATGGTAACAAATATGCAGGATCATACCCGAAAGCAATCTTGCAAACGTTATCAAAGGCAAATCTTTGGAGTATATCTTGAAAGTCCAGCACAATTTTGTTAGCTGCAGCATTTTTGAGAATCGGTATTAGGCGATCGGCTAGCTCAGAATCAACTACAGTTTCAACGAAATTACGCAGAGATCTGGTGTTGAATTCATGGCTCGAAACTTGTCGTTGAAATTTCCAATTGTCACCATCAGCATTGAATATGCCATCGCCAAGAAAATCTTTCAATGTTTTTCGGAAAACATCTCCTTTGCGGTAGTTAGAGAAGTGGGTTTTGAGCATATGTTGGACATTGGCTGCGTTGGCCGTGAACATTTGCCGGTAGCCAAAAGGGCGGTAGAGAGTGAACGTGAGGTTGGGTGTACATAATACCATTTCCGATGTCCATTGGACGCGCCTATCCTTGTTTTTCAAGATTGTGAAAATTGAACCGAAAATAGGGTACGATTTCGGAAGATTTGTTGCAATAGAGGAAGAAGAGAGATTTTTGGAGCTGGATTTCAAGTTTGCCAAGATCAGGAACAAAAAGGGAAGAATTGTGCACAAGAGAATTGTATCGAAGAACTCGATTTGTAACATTTTCGATCCAAAATGAACGAGAAATGGAGTTATATGTGGACCAGAGACGAGTTTGCGAGTATAAGGAGAAATGGAGGTGTCTATTTATAGAATTATAATTCCTCTTCCTAAAAAGTTGATAAGTTCACAATCGCACATTTTATTAAAATATACTAAAAGCTTATTTTTTATCTGAACCAAACACGGGATTTAATGATTTTCTTTTTAGGACATCTTTTCTATTATTGGTTGGCATTTCTTTTTTATCACTGACTCATCGTAATGAAACTATGACGTGACTTGATTCGGAAACCTTCATTGACTTCAATTCTAAGCTGAAGTCGGCATGTTTGTGAGATGGAATTATCAGTTATTCCCTTGCATTCTTGTTAATTAAAATAAATCCATGCTAAAGTCGGCATGTTTGTGAGATAAATTGGTAATACTGCATAATGCATATCAAACATGAATACATATTTGATGCCTCGAGCTTGCTATTCTCTCGACACTTTGGTACATTATATCTTCTTAGTAAATAAAAAGACGCTAACATGTACTGCGACAAGATATTAACAAAATATATTATCATCTTCTCATTCACTAAGAAAAGACGATATTTGAAATGTAATATATTTCAAGACTCAGTACATTTTCTTAGTAAATGAAAAGACGTCAATGTGTAATGTGACAACATATAAAAAATATATTTTCATCTTCTCATTCACTAACAGAAGACGATATTATGACGTATCAAGAATTGATGTTGAATGGTTCATGTCAACAAATTGGAAAACAAACCTTATTAATCTATTCAACGGAATTAAATTAAACACTAGGATTGAATGGCCAGAGAAGAGGGATGCAAAAACAAAAAAAAAGAGTCAAAAACACTGACTCAAAGCCTTTTGTTAAACAATCCACAAACGTTGGTGACAGTTTGACTTCAAGAAAATCAATTTTCATTTCTATTTTTCTTAAAATAATAAAATAAAAATACATGCTCGTGCAACGGGCTGGATTGCGGCGTCAAGCAAGCAGCCGACTGAAATGCCGACGATTTATTTCTTATTTTGCGTGTTAAAATTATGAATATATAATTTTTTTTATTATTATATGTAACATT